TCGCGCTCTCGCTTTGGACTTTCATGCAATTTACCACCGAATCGCGGCTCCCGCATGGCACTTCCTCAACATTTACTCAGATGCCGATCGTCGACACGCAGAAATCGCGCTCCCGCTACACATTGCTTGGCGGTTCAAGCAGAATTTACGCTTCAACGACCCGCCCGCTCGACCCGCCCGTCTGGGCCTGCCCGCCCGACCAGCCCGTTAGGGACTGCAGTCGCCGCTCGCTGCTCTTCGCCCGCCTTCGATGCCCCTCGCTGCCCGTACTGGTTCCGCGGTCGCCTTCGCTCGTTGCCCTTCGTGGCCCCGTTGCTGCCCTCAGTGGCCCCCTCGCTGCCCATTGTGGCCCCGCATTACATGCCCATCGTGGCCCCCGCCTGCAATCGCCCGTCGTGGCCCTATACGCGTGCCTTTCGTAGCCCCGCTGTCGCCCTTCGTGGCCCTCTCGCTGCCCTTCGTGGCCCCTTTGCTGCCCTCAGTGGCCCCGGTGTCGCCCTTTGTGGCCCCATATACGAATGCCCTTCGTGGCCCCCGCTCGTTCGCGCCCGTCGTTGCCTCATATGCATGCCCTTCGTGGCCCCGCTGTCGCCCTTCGTGGCCCCCTCTCTGCCCTTCGTGGCCCCGTTTCTGCCCTCAGCGGCCCCGTCGCTGCCCTCTGTGGCCCCGGATTAATTGCCCTTCGTGGCCCCCGCTCGCTCGCGCCCTGCGTGGTCCCATACGCATGCGTTTCGTCGCCCCGATGTCGCCATTCGTGGCCCCCTCGCTGCCCTTCGTGGCCCACATTCTGCGCTCAGTGGCCCCGCCGTGGGGGTATCCGTGATCAGTTCTTTCAAGGGGGTGGTCCGTGGCGCTGTTTATGGCGCGACCCATGGCGGGATTTTTTTGGTTAACCTGTGTTGGAGTGGCTGGCGCACGCCATGGCGCAAGCTGAATCGTCACTCGCAGCGCAAATCGTCGTCCTCCCTCTTTCTTGCCCCTCCCTTTCCTTCCTCCGATCCCTTCGTCCTCATTCTCCCCCGTTGCCTGTTACCCTTCGTTTTCAAGGGCTTCACCAACCACGCGTGGCAGGGAATGAATCTACCCCTCAAAAGGGGGTGCGATCGAAGACGAGGAGGGCGGGTATCCAGGGTTTGGGATTTGCATAGTGAATGACACGCGAACAGATAAGAGCGAACAGTCTTAAACTGATTGTTGTTGTTGTTGTTGTTGCTGCTGCTGCTGCTGCTGCTGCTGCTGCTGTTGTTGTTGTTGTTGTTGTTGTTGTTGTTGTTGTTGTTGCTGCTGCTGCTGCTGCTGCTGCTGCTGCTGCTGTTGTTGTTGTTGTTGTTGTTGTTGTTGTTGTTGTTGTTGTTGTTGTTGTTGTTGTTGTTGTTGTTGGTTGTTGTTGTTGTTGTTGTTGATGCTTGTTGCTGTTGTTGTTGCTGCTGTTGCTGTTGTTATTGTTGTTGTCGTCGTTCGTCGTCGTCGTCGTCGTCGTTGTTGTTGTTGTTGTTGTTGTTGTCTTCGCCCCACCCGGGTGCTCCAGGGCCGTCTCAGAGGCCATCTTGGGCGTATTGGAGGCCTCTTGGGTCGTCTTTGTGCCCTCTTGGGGCCGTCTTGGGGGCCTCTTGGGCAGTCTTGAGGCAATCATGCGGGCCTCTTGGGCGCTGTGGGGGCGATCTTGGGGGCCTCTTGGGCCGTCTTGTGTCGTCGGAAAGCCGGGAAGAAGCGAATGCCAAAATCCTTCAAAAACTCAAGGAACATTGATATTGACCTCTTCGGGCTCTCCTGGGGGACCTCTTGGAGGCCTTTTGGGGCCGTCTTGGAGGCCTCTGGGGGGCCTCTTGGGCCGTCTTGGGCCGTCTTGGACTCTCTTGGGCCGTCTTTGAGGCCGTCTTGGACCATCTTGGGCGATCTTGCTGGCCATCTTGGGCCATCGTGGCCATCATGGAGGCCATCCTGAGCCGTCTTGGACCATTTTTTTCCGGATTGAGGTCCTTCCCGGGACCCCGGCAGGACGCGCCGGAGCCCCAGGGGGAGTCTTTTTTGGGGGAAAAGAACCAAGCCAAAACCGAAATCGTCTAGCACGCCAGGCACCCCTGTGATGACTCGACAGGGGGCGGCGGATCGAATGCCCCGCGGCACGCCCCGCCGCCGCGCCCGAGCCTTGGGTTCGAGGCCGCGCGGGGTCATGGGGCGCGCCTCGGGGGCGTCTGGGAAGCAGTTTTTGAACCTCTTGGGGGCCTCCTGGTGGTCCCTTGCGAGCTTTCTGCGGCTTCTCGGAGCTCGCTGGGGCCTGCGAAGGGTTTCTTGGGACAGCCGGGCGGCGGCTTGGGGTCGGGGGCTCGAAATGTCCGCCCGGGTTTCCCCATTCTACGGGCCCTCCTGGGCCCTCTTTTACGGGCCGTCTCGGGGGCTTCTTGAGCGGTCTTGGGGCCCTCTTGGGTCATCTAGGAGCCCTCTCCGGGGCCTCTCGGGCCGTCTTGGAGCGATCCAGGAGGCCTCGTGGGTTGATTTGGATGTTGTGAACGTGCGAGAGGCGAGTGTGCCTAAAATGATGGTTTTCCATAGGGAGGTGGCGATCTCTGTTCTTTGAGGTGGTCATGGGGCGACTCTAGAGGGCCTCGCGGGGCGTCGGGGGGCTTTTTGGGCCGTCTGGAAGCCAGCGTGGGTGTCTTGGATCCAGCTTTCGGCGGCTCGTGGCCCTCGAGGACCGCCTGGAGGGCCTCTTGGCGCCCTCTTGGCTTGTTCTGGGGCCCTCCATGCCCCCGCGGCGCGATCCGCCCCTCCCCGGCGCGATCCGCGGCGCGATCCCCCCGCGGTGCGATCCCCCCGCTCCGCGCCGATTGGGCTGAATTCCCGGGGGGAGGGGGCGTTTGGGGGGGGGGCGTCTCGCGCGCCGATGAACCCAAGGGGTCGCAGTGCTAGCGTGGGCGGGCGAATGTCTCGGTCTAAGACGCGCGGCCGCCGTCGCGCGGTCGAATCGGCGAGCCGCGCCGTCGCGAGCTCGAGCTGGCTTGCCAGCTTCAGGGGCGCGGGGCGCTCGCCTATTCCAGGCGTCGGAGTGCCAGGCGAGCATGCACCTCCTCAGCGGCGTCTGCTTCGCGAACCTTTGCGGCGACAGGCCGCAGCTCCGCAAATGTGCCAGAGGCGGAGGCAGTCCGTGTGCGAGACGGACTCGGCCTCAAGGGGCCTTTGTCTCCTGCCAGCCTGGCAAAATCATGCCCCCCGAACGCGCGCGCACTTGCCGTTCTCTCGGGGACGTTGCGAGCCCGGTGCGTCGTTCGTATCTGGGGGGGTCGCAAGCGCACGGGTTGGAGCTGGAGACAGTCGGCCTCCTCAGCATGCCTCGGTTGTACAGGGGGCCAGTGCTGAAGAGGAACCGCAGGTTCCGTCGCGCTCTGGGCTGCCACGGCTGACGTTCATCTCGCAGCCAAAGGTTTCCCGCGAACGCTTCCGCGCCTTGCAGGAGGCCCGCCCCCTCGCGCCACCCCGTTCCCAGACCCCCGCCGCCAGGATTTTGTCATGACGTGGGCGTTCAGAGGTCTGGGCCTCTTCCCGGGGATCGGCTCTTCTTCCTGAGTTGTTTTTTAACGGCCCCGAGGCCCGATGGGGGCCCCCGGAGGCCCGCAGCAAGAAACGTCCAGCCGTCTCACGCTTTGGTCTGAACCATTGGGTGGTTAGTGCGGTGGTTGCTTGCTTGCGCAGTTAGAAACTATTCCATCAGGCCTAACCACCATCCCGTGAGGTACATGGTGGTTGGCTGGTTGAGCAGGCGATCCGCGCAGGACGCCTGCCCCGCGAGCCACCTTTCGGGGTTGCGATATGGTGGTTAGGGACTTTGGGCTCATATCTTTGCGACTCAGACTGCTTTTGCACAATGGGTCAACCACCAAACCCCCAGGCACCATTTCGGAAATTCGAGACAACGCAAAGGGGGTCTGCTTTGTGGGCACCGGTCAGGGACAGTTTTCTATCCCCTGGCGATAGCGGGCGCGACCAGGGTGTGGGAGGGGGGAGGGGGCCGGTCACGTCACGATCCGCGACGGCGCCGAGTGGGCATTAGCCGTCCCTGCGCATCCCCGGACGGCGCTGGCGCGAATCTTGACGTGACCGGGGAAGGGGGGCGGCCACGGGCGTTGTCGCGGATAACAAAACACCCGGGCTCCAAGATGTTCTTCCTCCTCCCTCCTCCTCCTGTTGTCCTCCTCGTCGCCGTCTTTGCGTCGCGTCACTGCGCTCGGTCGTCCGTCGTGGTCGCCTTCGCCGTCGTCTTTGGTCGTCGCCGTCGTCGCCGTCTTCTGGCCGTCTGTTTTCCCCTCCGCCGGAGCCTCGCGCTCTCTCGAGGTGCGCGCGTGGCCAGCCGAGAATCCGATGACCCTCGGCCACGCGCAGAGGGCGTCAGGGGGAGGGGGAAAGGCTTCGTAGAGTCTTAGAAGGCGCGGGCCTCATCTGTAGATGTAGGACCCGCGCCTTCTAAGAACCAGGGGTGGATCGAAGAAGCCTTCCCCCCTCCCCTCACTCCCCCCTGCGCGCCGCCAGAATCCAGGAATCCTCTGACGACGTCGACGACGACGACCATTGAGACCGCGACCACGACCACGACGACGGACGACGACGACGATGACGACGACGACGGACACGGACGACGACGACGGACGACGACGACGACGGACACGGACGACGACGATGATGACGACGACGACGGACACGGACGACGAGACGACGGACGACGACGACGGACACGGACGACGACGACGGACACGGACGACGACGACGACGGACACGGACGACGACGACGACGACGAAGACGGACGACGACGACGACGACGGACGACGACGACGACGGACACGGACGACGACGACGACGGACGACGACGACGACGGACACGGACGACGATGACGACGACGACGACGAACACGGACGACGACGACGACGACGACGACGACGGAGGCCAACCGAGAACACGAGGATCCAAGAATCCTCCGACGACGTCGACGACGACGCCCCCCTGCAGGAGACCCAGAGGGAGGCCGGCGCCTCCAGAGGCCTGCGCGCGGCCGCGGCCGCGGCGCTGCGCCGGCTCGAGCAGGCGGGCGGCGAGGTGGCGGCCGGTGGCGGCGGCGCGGAGGCCTGGGCTGTGACGCCGTCGTCGTCGTCGCCGTCGCCGTCGCCGGCGGCGTCGTCGTCGTCGTCGTCGGCGTCGTCGTCGTCGTCGTCGTCGTCGTCCGTCGTCCGTCGTCCGTCGTCGTGGTCGTGGTCGTGGTCGTGGCCGTCGTCGCCGTCGTCGTCGACGACGGCGACGTGCGCGCGCATCCAACTTTGGGAAAATTGGAGCTGAAGGTTGTGTCGGTGGCGCAGTATGGACCCTGCCCTCGCCGATCCACGATGCAGGCAGCTCCACAGGCGGATGGGGGCAGGGTTCGGATTTCGTCGAACACGTGGCGAATCAGGAAGGAAACAATACACACAGACACAACCAAATAATCGTCGACTCCCCAGAAAATATGGGAAAATATGGGAAGTGGGGGGGAAGACAAGAACCCAGAACATATGAAAGTATGGTGAATCCTCTTGCTTGTGTGTATCTAGTTGTGTGTCCCAGGGCCCCTTCAACGTGGCGCAATCCGAATCCTACCCCCGCCTCCCACCGACTCAGGAAAATCGATGGCTGGGACAGGGTTCGGCTGTCGCCACCTGGCGAGTCGGACGGGTGGTGCTCAGCGGACGCGCGTGAGGACGGCTGTGCATGGCTCGATGACGTCCTGTCGTCTTCGGCTTCTGGCAGTCCTCGACGGGCCCAGGGACCGTCAACAACACGACCCGGGGCGAGAGATCGGCCCCGGGGAAAGAGTCGCGGAATTTCCGGGGGTCCCGCACCGACAGACCAGAGGCTCCGATCCTGGACGGGCCCACCCTTCGAAGTAGGGAAAGGCGTCGGAGACCTGGAGATTGACACCAGCACCAGTGTCGGCGATATGCCTCCACCGAGGGAAGTTGATTCCGACCTCTGTGATGGTGGTACTACGCGGGCTTCTTGGATGGCCGAAGGATTACCACCAGCACCACCATCTAGGATCCTCTTTCCCCGGTTGAGGCCCCCCCCCTGTGTTGGTGTTGGTGCTCATGTCCAGGCCTCCTCTGGTGCAGATGCTGCAGCTCGTCCCAGAGTGCCCCCGTAGCCCTTGGCCAGTCGGGGGCGGCAAAGAGGGGGGGTGATGATTAGGGGGGGGTGGATGTCATGGCGGGGGCCATGGTATTTCCCCAGACTTTATGGCGCCTCTTTTCATTTCATTACGTCCCTGGCCCCCCCGCTGGGCCGCGCACATGCCGCCGGTCATGATTTGCACCCCCCCCTCTTGGACACCCCCCTCTTGGCAGCTCCCGAGCCAGAGGCCCCCCGGGGAGGTGTCCAGGGGATTGGCGGCAACGCGGCTTTCCCCCCCCCCCCCCCCAGGTCGGCGCACCCAGGCCTCTAACGTACAGCGAGACCTCGAGGCGGCCTCCCTCCAGGCCTCTCGAAGAGGGTACGCTTCAGTCGGGCACGTCCCTCTACAGGAGGAATGTTCAAAAATCATCGAAAAAATAGCCTGGGGCTGTGGGGGGGCATCCCCGACGTACGCGCAGAGGCAGCCGCTGGTTTCGCCCGGCTGGTTTCGCCCGGCTGGTTTCGCCCGGCGCTGGTTTCGCCCGGGCTGGTTTCGCCCCACGCTGGTTTCGCCTGGGCTGGTATCGCCTGGCTGGTTTCGCCCGGCTGCTTTCGCCCGGCTGCTTTCGCCCGGCTGCTGGAGGAGGTGCAGGAGGAGGAGGCGGAGGAGGAGGAGGAGGAGGAGGAGGGAGGAGGAAGAGGAGGAGGAGGATCATGACGAGGATGATGTGGGGGGGGAGGAGGAGGAAGATGATGATGATGATGATGATGATGATGATGATGATGATGATGATGATGATGATGATGATGATGATGATGATGATGATGAT